CCAATGACAAGCATAGGGCTTGAAGAGAAGGCAGAACAAACTTGGCATAGTTCTTTTTTCAAAAGATTCTGTTGAAAGCAAGTCAAGGAAACAATTGGGCATGGAACTGACTTATGGTTCAAGCCAATCCTTACCGAGATGAACATAGACACCTTGGCAAAAAGTTGAAAACAATTTTATTCCTCTGTTTTGGAATAATTACTAATTTGAAAACTATTATGTGGTTTTGTTTTTGTGGGTGTCTTTTTTTTTTTTTTTTTTTTTGTGATAGAGTTTCACTCTCATTGCCCACGCTGGAGTGCAATGGCATGATCTTGGCTCACTCAACCTCCGCCTCCCAGGTTCCAGCAATTCTCCTGCCTCAGCTCCTAGGTAGCTGGGATTAGAGGCAGATGCCACCACACCTGGCTAATTTTTTGTGTTTTTAATAGAGATGGGTTTTCACTGTGTTAGCCAGGATGGTCTTGATCTCCTGACCTCAGGTGATCTGCCTGCCTTGGCTTCCCAAAGTGCTGGGATTATAGGCATGAGCCACTGTGACCAGCCCTATTGTGTCTTATAATTTTAAAAATTGAAATAGGCTGGGTGCAGTGGCTGACATCTGTAATCTCAGCACTTGGGGAGGCTGAGGTGGGAAGATCACTTGAGCCCAGGAGTTCAAGACTAGCCTGGGCAACAAAGTGAGACCCTTTCTTTACAAGAAATACAAAAAATTAGCCAGGCATGGTGGTGCACACCTGTAGTCCCAGCTACTGAGGATGAGCTCGGAGGACGGCTTGAGCCCTGGGAAGTTGAGGCTACAGTGAGCTGTGATTGTACCACTGCGCTCCAATTTGGGTGACGGAATAAGACCCGGTCCCCCAACAACAAAAAAAATGAAGCGGATTTCCACTTAAATGTGGTAGACTGAACATATGTTTGCTCCATACAACCTCCCAAAATTTGTCAGTTTTTTTTTTTTTGAGATGGAGTCTTGTTCTGTCACCTAGGCTGGAGTGCAGTGGGGCTATTTCGGCTTACTGTAACCTCTGCCTCTTGGGTTCAAGTGATTCAAGTGATCCACCCACCTCAGCCTCCCAAAGTAAATAATTTTTTTTCCTTTGGAGACGGAGTCTCGCTCTGTTGCCCAGGTTGAAGTGCAGTAGAACAATCTTGGCTCACTGCAACAATCTTGGCTCACTGCAACCTTCACCTCCCGGGTTCAAGCAATTCTCCTCCCTCAGCCTCCCAAGTAGCTGGAATTACAGGCACACACTGCCCTGCCTGTCTAATTTTTTGTATTTTTAATAGAGACAGGGTTTCACTGAGTTGCCCAGGCTGGTCTTGAACTCCTGAGCTCAGGCAATCCTCCCACCTCAGCCTCCCAAAGTGCTAGGATTACAGGTGTGAGCCACTGTGCCTGGCCAATAATTTTTTAGAAAGCATAAATGACCTTTGGCTTTAATTCATTATGAAGTAATAGGGACAACATTTATTCTGCCAATGTAAAGAAGAAGAAGCTGGACAAGATGTATGAAACAGCTGTTTTCTGATATTTTGTTAGAAGTAGCACCGAACTGTGATTCTTGAGAAAGGCAAAACAAATGAAGTGAGCTCTGTTATCAGTTAGGTTTCTACCTGGAGGCACATTTCAGACCATGGAGCAAGGAGAGAGATTCTAGCAGAGTACAATCCTCTCACTGAGTTGAAAAAGAGAGAGGGAGAGAGAGAGAGAAAGCGAGCAAGCGAGAGAGGAGAGAGAGAGAGAGAGGAGGGGGGAGAGAGAGAGAGAGAGAGAGGTGTATTGGAGTAGTAGAGAGAGAGAGAGAGAGAGAGAGAGAGGTGTATTGGAGTAGTAGAGAGAGAGAGAGAGAGAGAGAGAGGAGGGGAGAGAGAGAGAGAGAGAGAGAGAGAGAGGGGTATTGGAGTAGTAGAGAGAGAGAGAGAGAGAGAGAGAGAGAGGGGTATTGGAGTAGTAGAGAGAGAGAGAGAGAGAGGAGGGGAGAGAGAGAGAGAGAGGGGGGTATTGGAGTAGTAGAGAGAGAGAGAGAGAGAGAGAGAGAGAGAGGGGTATTGGAGTAGTTCAGTAGTTCAGGTAGGCTGAGGCAGCTAGAAGTTTTTTTTTTTTTTTTGAGATGGAGTCTCACTCTGTCACCCAGGCTGGAGTGTGGTGGTGTGATCTCAGCTCACTGGAACCTCCACCTCCTGGATTCAAACAAATATCTTGCCTCACCTTCCCAAGTAGCTGGGATTACAGGCATGTGCCACCATGCCCAGCTAACTTCTGTATTTTTAGAAGAGGTGGCATTTTACTGTGTTGATCAAGCTGGTCTAGAACTCCCATGATCTGCCCACCTCAGCCTCCCAAAGTACTGGGATTACAGTCATGAGCCACCATGCAAGCCTTTAAGCCTTTTCTTTTCCTAAGCCTTTTCTTTCTTTTTTTTTTTTTTGAGAGTCTTGCTCTGTCGCCCAGGCTGGAGTGCAGTGGTGCCATCTCAGCTCACTGCAACCTCTGCCTCCTGGGTTCAAGTGATTCTCCTGCCTTGGCCTCCTGAGTAGCTGGGATTACAGGAGTGTACCACCACACCCAGCTAATTTTTGTATTTTTAGTAGAGATGAGGTTTCACCATGTTGGTCAGGCTGGTATGGAACTTCTGACCTCGTGATCCACCTGCCTTAGCATCCCAAAGAGCTGGGATTACAGGCATGAGCCACTGTGCCTAGCTAAAATTGTGTTTCTTTCTTTCTTTCTTTCTTTTTTTTTTTTTGAGATGAAGTCTCACTCTGTTGCCCAAGCTGGAGTGCAGTGGTGTGATCTTGGCGCACTGCAACTTCCACCTCCTGGGTTCAAGCGATTCTCCTGCCTCAGGCTCCCAAGAAACTAGGACTACAGGCATGCGTCACCATGCCCAACTAATTTTTATATTTTTAATAGAGATGGGATTTCACTATGTTGGCCAGGCTGGTCTGGAACTCCTGACCTCGTGATCTGCCAGCCTCGGCCTCCCAAAGTGCTGGGGTTGCAGGTGTGAGCCACCATGCCCAGCCTCATTAAGCCTTTTCTGAATGCTAAGAAATAATACTGGCTGGGCACGATAATGCGTGCCTGTAATCCCAGCACTTTGGGAGGCCAAGCCAGGAGTCCAAGACCAGCCTGGACAACATAGCGAGACACTGCCTCTACAAAAAAATATAAAGAATTACTCAGGCATGATGGGACCTGTAGTCCCAGCTACTTGGGAGGCTGAAGTGGGAGGATCACCTGAGAACCCAGGAAGCAGATGTTGCAGTAAGCCAAGATCATGTCACTGCACTGTAGCCTGGGCAACAGAGTGAGACCCTGCCTCAAAAAAAAAAAAAAAATGAAAAAGAAATAATACCAAGACATGATGTGGCATTTCACTATGTTGGTCAAGTGAAAATTCTAAATTCTAAAATTTACTATGTTGCCCAAGTGAAAATTCTAAATTTGATGAGAATGCTAAGGCAAAGATTCAAGAAACTCAACCCCATGCAGGATAAACCTACACGCATACAAACTCACACCAAAGCATATAATCAATTTGCTGAGAAACAACTGATAAAAAGAAAAAAATTAAAAGCATCCATAGGAAAAAAAGACATAGTATATACAGAGAAACCAAGATAAGAATTACTGCATACTCACTGTCTAAAGCTATGTAAGCCAGAAGACAATGGAATGGTATCTTTGAAGTGCCAAAAGAAAATAAAAAGGAAGCTGCACATGGTGGCACGTGCCTGTAATCCCAGCTACTTGGGAGGCTGAGGCAGAATTGCCTGAACCCAGGAGGCGGAGGTTGCGGTGAGCCGAGATCGCGCCATTGCACTCCAGCCTGGGTAACAAGAGCGAAACTCCGTCTTAAAAAAAAAAAAAAGAAAAGAAAGAAAATAAGGATACTTTGAAAACAAGTGAAAATATCCTTCAAAAATGAAGGCAAAATAAAGTTGTTTCCCACCCCGCCCCCTGCCAGACAGTCTTACTCTGTTGCCCAGGCTAGAGTGCAGTGGCATGATCTTAGCTCACCACAACCTCTGCCTCCCAGTTTCAAGCAATTCTCCTGCCTTACCTTCCTGAGTAGCTGGGATCACAGGCACCCACCATCATGCCTGGCTAATTTTTGTATTTTTAGTAGAGATGGGGTTTTACCATGTTGGCCAGGCTGGTCTTGAATTCAACTTCAAGTGATCTGCTCACCTTGGCCTCCCAAAGTGCTGAGATTACAGGCGTGAGTCACTGCACCTGGCTTTTTTTTTTTTTTTTGAGACTAATCAAGAGAAAAGAAGACTCAAATTACCTGTATATGGGAAAAGAGTTAACACTGCCAGGTGTGATGGTGCATGCCTATAGTCCCACCTATTCAGGAGGCTGAGATGGGAGGACTGTTTAGCCAAGGAATTTTTGCTGTAATATGCATGCTAGTTAGGTGTCTGAACTATGTTTGGCACCAATGTGGTGACCTCCTGGGAGCATGGGACCACCAGGTTGCCTAAGAAGGGGTGAAATGTCCCAGGTTGGAAACGAAGAGGTAAAAACTCCCATGCTGATCAGCAGTGGGATTCTGCCTGTGAATAGCCACTGCACTCCAGCCTGGGCAACACAGTGAGACCCTGTCTCTTAAAAAGAGAGAGAGAGAGAGAGAGAGAGAGAGAGAGAGAGAGAGAGAGAGAGAGGAGAGAGAGAGAGAGAGAGAGAGAAAACACTACTAAGATTCTACATTAATTAAGTGGATATTATGAATGACTATGCAAAAACATTTGAAAAGATATATGCAGTAGAAGAATTCATTGGAAGAAACATGTTTCCAAAAATGACTCAAGAAAAAAATTCCTAAATAAACATATTTCAATGAAAGTATTTAAAGTCATAATTACAAATTGTCTCATAAGGGAAATTCACAGGCTGAGATGATGTCACTGGTGAATTCTATCAAACATGTAAGGAAGAAATAATAGAATCCTTCACCTGTGCAGAAGTTTCAGAAAATAGAATTGGGCAGTACACTTTACAACTCATTTTATTAGGCCAGTATTACTCTGATTTGAAAACCAGACAAAGACAGTATAAGAAAAATTACAAACCAATATCCTTCACAAACATAGGCAAACTAATAATAAAATGAACAAACTAATAATAAAATGAATAAAGCAATTTACAAAGAGGAAAATGCATCATGGTCCAGTGTGTCTTATCCTAGGAATGCAAGGTTAATTTAACATTTAAAATACCAATGAGTATAATTTACCTTACCAGAAATAAGGAGGAAAAAAACATGGGTCGTCTTTATAGATATATTAAAAGCCTTTGGCAAAATTCAACACCCATATCTGATTTAAAAAGACAAAAACCTTTTAGCAAACTATGAATACCAGGGAACTTCAACCTGAGAAAAGGTCCCTAGGAAAATTTACGGCTTACATTGTACTACTTAATGGCAAAAGACTGAGTACTTTCCCTTTAAGATTAGGAACAAGGGGAAGATGTGTGTTTTCACCACTTATATCCAACATTTTTCTGAAGGTCCTAACCAGGGCAATAAGGCAAGACATGTGGGTTTACAAAGAACAAGTACAATAATCTTTATTTGCTGATGACATGATTATGTATGTAGAAAGTCCTAAGAATTCTACAAAAAAGCTACTAGAAGTAGTAAAGTATTGTTTTTCTAAAAATGGCCCTTATTCCACAGAGATTTTTACCTTTATTGCCAATATGAATAGCTTGCTTTCATGGTGTGTTACTTTCCACAAAAAATTCAAGGCTTGAATCACAAGGAGAGCAAAGTACGTGTGTTTGCTGGTTTTACTGAACTGATCTTTACAGAAGTGAGTTAGAAAGGTTTTCATTAATAGCTTTTTCTCTGATATGGTCTGGCTCTGTGTCCCCACCTAAGTCTCATGTTGAATTGTAATCTGAATTGTGATCCCCATGTGTTGGGGGCAGGACCTCGTGAGAGGTGATTAGATCATGGGGGTGGTTCCCCAGTGCTGTTCTCGTGATAGTGAGTTCTCACGAGATCTGATAGCTTTAAAGGGGCTTTTCCCCACTTTGCTCTGCGCCACTTCTTTCTGCTGCCCAATGAAGAAGGTGCCTTTCTACCCCTTCACCTTCTGCTATGATTGTTTCCTGAGGCTTTTGCAACCATGTGGAACTGTGAGTCAATTAAACCTCTTTCTTTTATAAATTACCCAGTCTGGGGTATTTCCTTATATCAGTGTGAGAACAGACAAATACACTCTCCCATTTGGTAAATTTTCCTTCTCTGACTTAGAGGATTTCCAAGAGAAATTCCTAAAGCAACAGAGTTGTTTTTCCAAACTCTGAGCCAAAGGGCTGCTTGGTGGGTTCATGGTCTCTCAATCTGACACCAAGTGTGAAGGCTCCATATAAAAAAATTCTGGACCTTAAAACCAAAGTGTGACTCGCCACAGTGGCTGACACTTATAAGCTCAGCATTTTGGGAGGCCAAGGTGGGAGGAATGCTTGAGGCCAGGAGTAACATAGTGCTTGAGGCCTGGGTAACATAGTGAGACCCTGTTGCTACAAAAATAAAATACAAATTAGCTGGGCATGGTGGTGTGTGCCTATAGTCCCAGCTTCTCTGGAGGCTGAGGTGGGAAGATTGCTTGAGGCAAGAAGTTTGAGGATATAGTGAGCTATGATTGCCACTGTGCTCCAGCCTGAGTGACAATGAGACCCTGTCTCAAAAAACCCCACAAAACAAAACCAAGGTGTACTCTGACTCCAACAAGGAACCCTCCACAAACTAAGCTCTTCCTGTGGCAGTGATCCTTGTTCTGCAAAGGAAGCCAGGGTGAATGGGAGGGAATCTCAATTGAGCTCACTCAACGCAGGGTGGGCTCCCTAATCCCAAGTGGGTTTTGATTGAGTCGTTTTAGCTCCCTCTCTCTCCCCAAAGCTCATTGGGCTTTTTGTTGCTTAGTTAGATGAGCCATAGACAAGGAGTTTGAGACCTGGGTTTTAGCAGTTGCTCTGCTAAAACTTGCTGAATTTTGTGGAAGATAAATCTCTCTGGGTCTTAGTTTGTGCTTTTTTTAAAGTGAGAGATTTAGTTAGACTAGTGATTTTCAAACTTTTTCCTAGTAGCAAGACTCTGTACAAAGAAAATCTTATCTGGATGCCCAACCAAGACAAGAGAGGTTAGAGCCATTCTGGTTGACTTTGAAGGTGGACTGTCTTTTCTCCCATATGGCCATAGTGAAAGTAACTCTGTCTAAAATTTAGTGTCTTTATTTTTTCCCCCAAAGATAGATAATGTCTTAATGGGACAATGTGAGAAGGATATGATGTAAGAATGTGGGAGTGAGCAAGGTGACAGATCATAGGCTATGCTTTTTCATATAAAAAATGAAGATAGGTATTACAGAAGATATTAATAAACTGTTTCTCTGAAAAGTCTTATAAATTATGATATGAAATTACATTAGACTATGTGTGTCAACTTCAAAACACTACAATACCTGAAGTGGATACTGCTTTGGATGTATGACCCTAGTAGGTAGGGGTCAGGGTGGGTATCCAGAGGGCTGGCCTTTCTTGCTCATCTAAATGATAAAAAAATGTTCACTGCTGTTAACACTTCATTTTATTGCTATCCTATTTCTGTCACAAGTCCTTATGAGCTTGGTTGGGGTCAAGGGTCACCCAGAAAACAACCAGCTTCTAATTTCTTTTATTATGCAAACTAGAGATAGGTGACTGAGAACTTGCTTTTGGTCTGCAAGACACAGGGAGTTTTGCAAGCCCCAAGGGGAGTGCAGAATTTCCTGAACATGTTGCAAGTCGGCTGGCTGGCTTTCTTCTGAAGTCATGCAATATTGTTCTTCACTTTGGTTATGACTGCAGAGGTGCTGGGAAACAACAAAAACTATCACCTTGGAGCAGGTTTTTCTCCATAGGCCCCAGAGGTGAAGCTAGCTCATTTAGAGGGAATGGCTTGTGCTGCTGCTTTCATTTAAAGGTATTTTGATCCAATTCCACTTCACAGTTCCTTTCTTCCAAAACACAGTATTTTTGCTGAGGGAAGGACAGGCAGCAGCCTGAAAATTTAGGGTAGAAAACTGGCTGGCTGAGGACATTTTATAAGTTCATATTTTGCTAGTTTAATTTGGAAAAGGACAAATGAATTCTCACAGAAAATGAGCTTTATTGGGGAACGATAAATTTCATCAAGGCATTTCTTCATCAGGAATCACACAGGCAGCCCCATGCAGTCCCTGCCCCATACTTATCCTCCAGCTTGTGCTGCACAGAAGAGGAATTTGCTGATAGTGCATGCACACTGGAGTGTGCTTCTTGGCCTGGGTGGTGAAGTCCCAATCTCAGACTCTGGCCTCTCTAGGTATATTTCAGATGAATGTCACCCCTGCTCTCTGCCCCATCCTCAGTCCAGCAAAAATGGACTTCTAGAAATGCATACTTTTCTTTTTCTACCAGGGCTTATAATGTGAAGCTATTAAAGATTTTCAAATTTCAGAATAGTACCACTTACCTTGGGCTAGGAGAATTGATCTTGTCCCCTAATGAGTAGGAAGATCGTTTTTTGACATGATTATAAGCAGAAGATACTAAATAACACCTTAAAAAGACTCCATTGGCCAGGCGCAGTGGTTCACGCCTGTAATCCCAGCACTTTGGGAGGCCATAGAGGGTGATCGCCTGAGGTCAGGAGTTTGAGATCAGCCTGGCCAACATAGTGAAACCCTGTCTCTACTAAAAATACAAAAATATGAGCCAGGCATGGGGGTGCATGCCTGTAATCCCAGCTCTTTGAGAGGCTGATGCAGGAGAATTGCTTGAACCCAGGAGGTGGAAGTTGCAGTGAGTGGAGACTGTGCCATTGCATTCCAGCCTGGGCAATAAGAACGGAATTCTGTCTCAAAAAACAAGAAAAAAAGAAAAAAAAAGACTCCACTAAGTATGGTAAGTCTAGTGTTTTTGTTTTTTCCTTTTTTTTTGAGATGCAGTTTCGCTCTTGTTACCCAGGCTGGAGTGCAATGGTGCGATCTCGGCTCACCACAACCTCCACCTCCTGGGTTCAAGCAATTCTCCTGCCTTAGCCTCCCGAGTAGCTGGGACTACAGGCATGTGCCATCATGCCCAGCTAATTTTTGTATATTTTTAGTAGAGACGGGGTTTCATCATGTTGACCAGGATGGTCTCGATTGCTTGACCTCGTGATCCACCCGCCTCGGGCTCCCAAAGGGCTGGGATTATAGGCGTGAGCCACCACACCCCGCCTTGTTTTTTTGAGATGGAGTTTTGCTCTTGCTGCCCAGGCTGGAGTGCAGTGGTGTAATCGCAGCTCACTGTAACCTCTGCCTCCCACGTTCCAGCAATTCTCCTGCCGCAGCCTCCTTAGTAGCTGGGATTATAGACACACACCACCATGCCCAGCTAATTTTTTGTATTTTTAGTAGAGATGGCATTTCATGTTGGCTAGGCTGGTCTCGAACGCCTGACCTCAAGTGATCCACCCACCGTGTCACCTAGTGGGAGTTTTAAGTGTTTGAGAATCTCATGGGAATGGAAATATCCCAAGGACAAGTTTTTAAGTCATCATCCTCTTAGTTATAATAGGATATGTACTTGTTCCTCAAGTATTTAAGTGAAAAGTGAAACTGTCACACTGTCTATACTTTCCATAGTAAAAGCTACATAGAATTTAAGGCTTCTTCCCTGAAAGAGCAATAGTGTGTTCATAAAACATTTCTTCCTATTCTTTGAAACTTGAGAGTTCATGAGAAAACCCCAGGGCTGTGCTTTATTGAAGGCAACACTTTACTTCAATGATGAAGAATGCCACATGGGGATTAGGGAGTCGTGTTTTGGAGAGGAGACAGTGCAGGCTGAGTCAGCAGAATCCGAGACTGAACAACAGACTGGTTATTTTAGACCAGCCTGCAACCTTGGGTTGAAAATGAGTCAACTCAGGAGCCAGAGCAGACTATTCACCCTACAAGTGCTCCTGGTCACAGCCATTTCAGCATCAGCCTGCTCTTCCTTTTCAGTCTCTTCAGGATTTCTACAGAAGTAGAGATGAGGCAAGACTTCCCATAGGTGATCATAGACTATGCAGAACTTCTTGAGCCAGCATCCATATCAGACTCATTGAGTGATCTCCCTTATTGCTGCATGGATGGCAGTGATCACATAGCACAGTGAATAATCTGTTACACAGAGTACTAGTAGGTATGTTAATATAAGATGCCTCTGAGAGGCTGGAGATCAGCCCTGTTATCAGTAACCTCCAGAAGATGGAGCTCCCAGCAGGCTGCCTGGATCTAGTTAGTGAAGGTCCAGGAGTGAAGTGTCCAGCAATAAGAATGGCTCCAGTGCAGCAGCAAATTTCAGCACAGCCTGCTGCTGGCCAGTATTCCTGAAGAATATGGCACTGACATCAATGGGGTTTTCTTTTTAAAATTTTTTTTTAATTTTTGTGGGTACATAGTAGATGTATATATTTATGGGTTACATGAAATATTTTGGTGCACGCATGCACTGTATAATAATCACATCAGGGTAAATGGGGTTTCTGTCACCTCAAGCATTTATCCTTTGTGTTACAAACAATCCTGTTATACTCTTCAGTTACTTTAAAATTTTATTCATTTTTTTTTGAGACAGTCTCACTCTGTTGTCTAGGCTGGAGTGCAGTGCCACAATCATGGCTCCCTGAAGTCTTGACCTCCTGGGCTCAAGCAATCCTTAGCCTCCTAAGTAGCTTGGACTATAGATGGGTGTCACCATGCCCAGCTAATTGTTTACTTTTTTTGTAGAGATGGGGTCTGTGTTGCCCAGGCTGGTCTCTAATGGCTGGTCTCTAACTCTTGAATTCAACTCATCCTCTCATCTCAGTCTCCCAGTATTACAGGCATGAGCCACCATGCCCAGCCTTAAAATTTACAATCATTTTAATTGCAGTCACACTGTTGTGCTAGCAAATACTAGGTCTTATTCATTTTTTCTTACTATTTTTTTGTACACATCATCAGATGAGTTTTCAGTGGCAACAATGGTATGAACTGTTAGCAGAAATTTCTCCCAGGTCCTTTTCAGATTTATGATATAGATAACATCAGTCTACCTTTTGGTAGGTGTACTATTCCATCTGGAAGTCAAGGTTGATGCTACCTGAGCTTCTGCTACAAGGAATTTGAGGATCTCCTCCTCCTTTATCTGTAGGACATCAAGGGCTCTAGACATTGTGAAAGTTTCCCTTTATTTATGACAGGAGCCCAGAACCATATTTTGGACCCCTTTTGGGGTAGTGCAGAAAGGCTCTTCATATATTGGGAATTATTCTGTACAGATTGTCTCTTGTCTTTCATGTATTTATTCAATTGTTTGTATCAGTATGGATTCATATATATTTTATACTTTAGGTATAACATTATAATTCAATACTATATTATTTTGTGGATTACAAGCATGAGCCACCATGCTTGGCCAAGGAGCTCTTTCAGATTGGCTCCTGTGTCTCTCTGACATGCTTCTATCATCTTGTTTTTGAGCACTTGCTTACTTTCTGGTATTAAAAGGAGCCTGGGTTCTTTTTTATTGGACAATATTTAGAAACAAAAATCTCACAAAGTACTTTGAACTAAATTCTGCCTCAGTCCTCCCAAACTAACATAAACTTGGCAGGAATATGTGGTAGGCAGATGCAGTAACCTCCCAAAGAAGCTGGCCCTGAGGTGACCTGGTGGCAGTGGTCCACTTGGATCCCTACTTTTTATACTAAGTTACTGGCTGCTCACCTGAGGCCTCTAGACCTGTAAGGTATGGGAAATAACTGAAGAGGTATCTCTGGGCACAGAAAGGGAAAAAGTAAAGATACACCAGCTGCTCTCATTTTTTTAATTTTTGAGACAGGGTCTTGCTCTGTCACCCAGGCTGAAGTGTAGTGGTGCAATCCTGGCTCCCTGCACCCTCTGCCTCCTGGGCTCAAGTGATCTTCCCACCTCTGACCTGAGTAGCTGGGACTACAGGCGAATGCCACTGTATCTGGCTAATTTTTTTATTTTTTAGTAGAGACAGAGTTTTGCTATGTTGCCCAGGTTGGTCTTAAACTCCTGGACTCAAGCAATCAGCCCATCTTGGCCTCTCCAAGTGTTGGGATTACAGGTGTGAGCCTCTGTGTCTGGCCAGCTTCTCTTTCTGTTTATCCTGATAGGTGTCACTAGGTCAGAGAGAGAGGCCCTGTCATCATCTATGATTTTTAATAGTTTAAGGTATAATTTATACACATAAACTTCACCTGTTTTAAGTGTACAGGTCGGGAGTTCAAGCCCAGCCTGACCAATATGGAGAAACCCTGTCTCTATTAAAAATACAAAATTAGCAGGTATGGTGGCATATGCCTGCAATTGTAGCTACTTGGGAGGCTGAGGCAGGAGAATTGCTTGAACCACCTAGAGCCGAGATCACCGCACTTAAGCCTGGGCATAAAGAGTGAAACTGAGTCAAAAAAAAAAAGTTGTGCAAAAATTACAACTTAGTTTTGGAACATTTTTGTCACCCCAGAAAGATCCCTTGTGCCCATCTTCAGGCAATCCATGTTTTTACATCAGACCCATGCAACCATTAATTTAGTATCTGCTTTAGACATATGCCTCTTCTGGACTGTAAATGGAATCATACCATATGTGGAGTATTGCATCAGACTTCTTTCACTAAGCATAACATTTTTGAGATGCATCCATATTGTAGCATATATCACTACTCCATTGTATAGATATATCATTTAAAGAAATCCATCAGTTTAAAAAAAAAACAAAAAACGAAGCTGAGAATGATGGTTTCCAGTTTCATCCATGTCCCTGCAAAGGACATGAACTAAATGTTTGAGATGATGGACATGCTAATTACCCTTATCTGATCACTATACTTTGTACATATCGAAATATGTACCCCACAAATATGTAAAATTATTTTTTAATAAAAAATATTGAAAATAAAAATTTTTAAAAAAGCTGGGTGTGTTGGTGCCCATCTGCAGTCCCAGTTACGGAGGAAGCTGAAGCAGGAGGATTGTTTGAGCCCAGGAGTTTGAAAGAAACTGCCAAACTATTTTTCAAGGTGGAAACACCATTTTGTATTCCTACCAGCAATGCATTAGGGTTCCAGTTTCTCCACATCCTCACCAACACTTATCTTTGTCTGTCTTTTTTATTACAGTCATTTTAGTGGGTCTAAAGTGATAGTACACATCTCTTCATATGCTAAGCCATTTGTATATCTTCTTTGCTGAAATATCTATTCATTTTGTCCATTTTAAAGTTGTCTGCCTTATATTTGAGTTTTAAAAATTCTTTACATAGTCTAGATACAAGTACTTTATCAGATACCATATATTATTTGAAAAATATTTTCTCCCAGTCTGTGGTTTTCAATTTTTTTTTTTTTGAGATGGTTTCACTCTGTCACCCAGGCTGGCGTGTAGTGGTGTGATCTCAGCTCACTGCAACCTCTGCCTCCCAGATCCTCCCACCTCAGCCTTCTGAGTAGCCAGGACTACATGAGCATGCCACCATGCCCGGTTACTTTTTGTATTTTTTTGTAAAGATGGGATTTTGCTATGTCCATGCTGGTCTCAAACTCCTGAGCTCAATTGGTCCACCTGCCTTGGCCTCCCAAAGTGTGGGGATTACAGATGTGAACTAACTCCCTGGGCCAATTAATTTTCTTAACAGCATTTTTTTAAAAGAAAAGTTTTATATTTTGATGAAGTTCAACTTATTGATGTTTTCTTTTATGAATTGTGCTGTTAGGGTCTTAATAACTCCTCCTAAACCAAGGTCATCTAGCTTTTCTCCCATGTTTTTGTCTACATGTTTTATAGTTTTAGCTCACATGTAGGTCTGCAATCAGTTTTGAATTTATTTTTGCATATGCTAGGAGGTAAGAATCTAAATTAATCTATTTTGCATTTGCTATACAAATGTCCTCGTACCATTTGTTGAAAAGACCATCTTTTCTCCATTAAATTCCACTGGCATTTTTGTCAAACTCAATTGATCATAAATGTGAAGGTTTATTCCTGGACTCTGTTCCACTGATCTGTATGCCTATCTTTATATGAGTACCACACTGTCTTGATTAATGTAGCTTTGGTAATAAGTTCTGGATCAGAATTATTTCCTCATTTTCAGAATTACTTTGGCTATTCTGAATCTTTTATGTTTTCATACAAATTTTAGGATTGCCTTGTCAGTTTTTCAAAAAAGCCTGCTGTGATTTTGATAGGGACTGCATTATAGATTAATTTGGGGAGAACTGCTACCTCAACAACATTTAATCTTCCAATTCATGAACATGGATTGTGTCTACATTTCTTGATACCATCTTTAAGCTCTCTGAATTTTTTTTTTTGAGACAGGGTCTTGCTCTGTTGCCCAGGCTGCAAGCAGTCCTCTCAACTTAGCCTCTCAAGTAGCTGGGACTACAGGCATACAGCACCATGTCTGGCTAATTATTTTTATTTTTAGTGGAGACAGGGTCTTACTTTGTTGCCTAGGCTGGTCTTGAACGCCTGGGCTCAAGCAATCCTCCTGCCCCAGCCTCCCAAAGTGCTGGAACTACAGGCATGAGCCACTATGGCCAGTCCTCTCGAATGTTTTATAATTTTCATTATACAAGTCTTATACTACTTTTGTTAAATTTTATTCCTAAGTATTTAATTCTCTTTGGTGCCACTGTGATAAAATTTTCTTAACTTTATTTTGGAGTTTTCAGGATCGAAAAACACAATTTACCTTGCTGAACTTAATTCCAGTACACTATGATTTTTTGTTGTGATTAGACTCTTACAGTCAAACAAGGTTAAAAAAAAAAAAAAAAAAAGTCAAAATGGCCCCAGACCAACAACAGGGTGACAGTAGCCTTTGTCCATACAGAGACAAAGTTTAGTTTTTGCAGTTCTTTCCCGTAGAGATTGTATGGCCGTAGCCAATTCTATGGCTTACTGTCATACAACCTGAACTGAAGTCCAGAAAGTTTAGACTGGGCCACAGAGTAATTATTGGTGGAGCCACGAAAAATCATATCCATATCTCCTTGCCCACTAAGCTCCCCATTGCAGAAGGCTGCTTTCTGGTCCTTTTTTGTGATTGGGCATCAGCAGCTGTCATTTTTTCCAGTGTCCCAGAGTATTTTCTTGGCCTTCCAGTAAAGTTCCCTAAAGTTTACTGGCCTTCCAGTAAAGTCCCCCTCAACTGCTAACTTGCCTAACTTTCTTTTAAAGAAACTCCCTACTTGATACATATTTTGAAAAGCAGTCTAAATTCTAGAAATTGTCTCTCCTGAAAACAAACTACAGATTCCATTTAAAACATTTCCCTGAGTCCAGAAAGTTCTGAGATTCTCCTATTTTAAACTAGACTTCCAAAGGGCTTCATCTTAAATTGCATTTATTGACCTCACTGTTTGCTAATCTTTAGAATTTAGAGTTTAGATGGGGAGGCCAAAATGGTAATTTTTCTCACTTTTTTGATAAAGTGATATGATGGCTGGAATCATCCAGAAAAATTAAAGATCATTATATTTTCTTGAATATTCATTGAAGTTTCAATTTAACACTTAAACATTCATTTTCAAATAAAAATACTATGTCTTACAGCTAGGGATGCAAAGACTTGGTTATCCCTGTTGGAGTAATGATTCTCCTCTATCTGGGGAGGTCATCCTCTGCAGTTGGAGACTGAGGGACTGGGAGATGGGAGGTTGAAACTTAAAGACATAAAGATCTGACTTGGAATAAAGCTAGTTATCAGTCATCACCAGACCGTCATGATGGCTAGAATTCCAGAAACGGTGAATAGAAGTTCATCTTCTATTTCGTCTTCAAATATATCTGTGAAGCCAAAAAGGATACTTTTAATAAAACATGTATTGGGAGGCTGAGTCAGGTGGTTCATGAGGTCAGGAGTTCAAGACCAACCTGGCCAGCATGGTAAAACCCTGTCTCTACTAAAAATACACACAAAATTAGGCAGGTATGGTGGCACATGCCTGTAGTCCCAGCTACTTGGGAGACTGAGGCAGGAGACTTGCTTGAACTGGGAGGTGGAGGTTGCAGTGAGCCAAAATTGTCCCACTGGACTCCAGTCTGGGCAACAGAGCGAGACTCTTGTCTCAAAAAACAAAACCAAAAAACATGTAAAGTATTTTACTAGCTGTTTGAGACACTGTGTGTATTGTCAATATTCATTTCATTTCTTCCCCATTATGTATATTCTACCCAACAGTAGTTTGGTTGGAATAGACCCAGCCCTGAACTTGAGGGCTAAGTTTTGACTGATTGAGGTCAACTGGAAAAGCTCTTCTCTTTCCCTCATCCTTTACCAGAATGATTTCCTTAGCTCACAGCTTTCCCATGGCCACATGAATTGATTCAGTGTCCTCAATCAACATGGATTTCAAGAGTCTCACCAAGACAGTATGGTCTGCTATATATAAAACTGGAGCCTACTGAATAAAAATTTTGCCCCTTTGATAGACAGCTTCTAAGATAACCCTCAATGGCTGTTGTTGCCTGTATTCATGTCCTTGTATAATCCTCTCACCTTGAGTATGGGCTGGATCTAGTAACTAGTTTCTATCTAATGGAATATAGCAAAAGTGATGGGATGTCACTTCTGAGATTAGTTGCTAATACAAAAAGACTGTGGCTTCCATCATGGGTATCCTCTCTCGCGGGTTCACTCTGAGGGATGCCACATGCCATGTTGTGAGATGCACTCTCGAGAGGCCTATGGGCAAGGGATTAGGGGAGGCCTCTAGACAATAGTGAGAAACTGACACCCTGAGTTCAACAGTCAATAAGAAGCTTGATCCTGCCAACAACCACATGAGTGAGCTTGACAGGAGATCTTCCATTTTAGCCTTCAGGTGACATCATAGCACTGGCAGATAGCTTAACTGTAATATCAGGAGAGACCTTCAGCCAGAGGCTCCCAGTTCAACTGCACCTAGATTCCTGACTCTAACTGTGACATAAAAAATGTTTGTCTTTAAGCCACAAATATCTTTTTGTTTGTTTTGGGGAAATTTTCTAGTAGCAAAAGATAACTAATATGCCACAATAACAAAAGGTAGTTGGAAATGGATTTGTTATTCACAACTGAAAACATATTAATATACTAGGTAGTAATTTTGAAAAGGTTACTAGATATTAAAATCTTTAGAGTCAAAGAAATTTACCATGGCATACCAAAATCAGGCAAACAAAAAAACCCTCTATCCTACTTACAACGATCTTCATTTCTTATATGGAAAATTAAGTCATAAGGGCTATTCATTCATAATCTTTTATAATACTAAGTAATCTGGGCCAAGATTTACCTTTAATTACTTAAGCAAATGAGCAATGTAAATAAATAATGATCTTATGGGAACTGTGAAGTCCACTTAAAACATCTACTGTTGAAAGTCCTTAAAACTACTTTAACACCATCTGTTTATGTGCAAGTTTAAATATGCTAGTTAAAATGATTTTTAATTGGTATCTATTCATTACAGCAGGTTTAGAAGAACTTCTGACTAGACACTGTTTGCTCTCAGTCTGAAAGAGAAACCTCTGTTTTTTTTTGAGACAGGGTCTTGCTCCAGTGCCCAGGCTGGAATGCAGTGGTGTGATTATGGCTCACTGAAACCTTGACCTCCTGGGTTAAAGCAATCCTCCTGCCTCAGTCTCCCAAGTAGCTGGGACTACAGGCAGGTGCCACCTGTGTAGACAACCATATCTGACTATTTTTTAAAATTTTTTGTAGAAACAGGGTCTCTCTACAAAACACAGCAACTTTGTTGCCCAGACTAGTCTTGAACTCTTGGGCTCAAGTGATCCTCCCAACCTGGCCTCCCAAAGTGCTAGAATTTCAGGTGTGAGCTACTCTACCTGGCCAAGAAACCTTTCTTTTTATTTTTTATTTTAATTAAATTTATATAAGCAAGAAACCTTTCAACCCATGTACACAGGATGTCATGAACTGAGGATTATGATTGGTTTACACTCCAACCTCGCCATATTCTTTTTCATTTTTTTTTTAACTTGGTCCTTTATGTGGAAGCCATATTCTTTAAGGGCCTTTGAATGCTATGCTTATACAAACCAACCTAAGCTCACTCCTTCAGTAAAAGCCTTTGATATACAGTGTTCTCAGAGTAGCAGGATCATATGAAAAGACCATTGGGTATAAATTGGGGGGCAGTTACACTGCTAATTTCTTTCTTTCTTTTTTTTTTTTTTTTGAGACTGAGTTTTGCTCTGTCACCCAGGCTGGAGTGCAGTGGCACGATCTCAGATCACTGTAACCTCTACCTCCTGAGTTCAAGTGATTCTCCTGCCTCAGCCTCCCAAGTAGCTGGGATTCCAGGTGCCTGCCACCATGCCCAGCTTATTTTTGTATTTTTAGTAGAGACAAGGTTTCACCATGTTGGCCAGGCTGGTCTTGAAATCCTGACCTCAAGTGATCCACCCACCTCAGCCTCCCAAAGTGCTGGGATTACAGGCGTGAGCCACTGTGCGCCCAGCCCTGTATTCTTTCTTAATCACCAAAATCACCCCTTTCAAATATCCTTCCTGTATATTTAGAGATTTGATTAAAGATTGTTTTATAAAAATTCAAATAATAAAAATAAATATTAGATGACAGACATCAAGTGTGCTTCTAGGAAAGAGATGGGATTAGAGGTAGAGGTGAACAGAGAATTTTCCTTTTATATTAATTATGCAATATGTATTGCTTAATTTTTATTTTATAACATTTTGTATTTTTATCATTTAAAAAAGGTTAAACAAAGAAAAAAAAGAAAATGCTCCCTGAGAGAATCTCATTTGTAGTTTAGGATGAATTTCTTCAATTATAACATTAAATCAGGATCTATCTGAGCACTTTGGGATTGTGTGAAATGAGAAGGAAGGAAGGAATAGATGGAAAGTTATGATTAAGGCAGGACAAGGAAGGGAATATTCTGATGGGCAGTTCTGAAAGAGGAAAAGGCTTGGGATAGCAGGAGAGGGCTGTGTATCTGGGAAAAGGGTTAGGATTCAACAAAGTCAGACTTGTAAATTCACCTGCTTATCTGTACATGAAATGACTAAGGTATTGGCTGGGTAGGGGGTGATTTCACTGAAGGGGGCAGTAAGATGAGGATGTTCACAATGGATCGCTGCAGTAGCTGGGTTGAAGTAAACTGCTACTTCCTGGGAAGAAACTTATCAGATGGGACATGTGGGATGGCCTACACTTGAGTATGAAACTGATAATGTGGTGTTTCCTTGACTGCAAAAAACAGTAGCCTACAAGAGAGGAATAGCAACAAATATGGGACACAAAATAAGAAGAATAGGAAGTGACTGAGGCAGCTGAAAACTAAGGAATATCATGTATTTCCTTAGCAAACTGAGGGCATAGTTAGTTTTTACAATTTCCAATTAAAAAAAAAATCCACATAGGCAACAAATGAAGACTAAAAACCAAAGTAAAACAAAATCCAACTTACCACTTTGGCAAACAGCTGGTTCTAAATATGATGGTTAAACTTTCAAGGTCTTCATTCTTTAGCTGTAACTCTTCAAGCAGGGTGTCTAGAAACCGTGTAAACACTATACCTTCATGAGAATGTTTCTGAATGCCAAGAATTGGGGTCAGTCTGAAACAACCGAAAACACTAAATGCATATCCATGAAATGATAAAGGCAAAGGGACTCCCATCTTCAACATGGCAGAGAAGATTTTATGAGGATAATAAAGTCTCTCTGATTTAACAAAACTCCCAGAGAGAAGGCTTTACTAACAAAGGCAGAGGAGAAGTCTTGGGAAAAGACTGAAAGATCAAACATTAAGTATGAAAGAAGTATAAAAGCCTAAATCTATACCATGTTTGTTTTTCTTCATGTGAGCAAAAACAACTAAAATTCTGCTCAGAAAATGAACTCTTTCCATTTGGGAAAGGAAGGTTATGGAGAGGAGTTTAGAGTTGAGAATTGCTTTAAAAACATACTTATATTAGATGTTTGGATTACATCACCTAAAAAGATAATAAACAAACAAGATTACCTTTTGAATTAAATCTTACTTATTATTATTATTTTTTTTTTTTTGAGGCAGAGTCTCGATTCTGTTGTCCATGCTGGAGTGCAGTGACCTCTTGCCTCTTAGGTTCAAGCAATTCTCCTGCCTCAGCCTTCTGAGTAGTTGGGATTATAAGTGCTTACCACCACGTCCGGCTAATTTTTGTTTTTTTTGGTAGAGATGGGGTTTCACCATGTTGGCCAGGCTGGTCTCGAACACCTGGCCTCAAGAGATCTACCTGACTCAGCCTTTCAAAGTGCTAGGATTACAAGGTGTGAGTCACTATGCCCAGCTAACATTTTTTTTTTTGTATTTTTAAATTATTTATTTTCATTTTACTTATTAGAGATGGAGTCTTGCTCTGTCTCCCATGCTGGAACGCAGTTATGCAATCTCGCCTCACTGCAACCTCCTAGGTTCAAGCAATTCTCCTGCCTCAGCCTTCTGAGTCTGAGTAGCTGGGACTACAGGTGCGTGCCACCATGCCTGGCTAATTTTTGTATTTTTAGTAGAGACAGGGTTTTACCATGTTGGCCAGGCTGGTCTTGAACTCCTGACCTCAAGCAATATATCTGTCTTGGCCTCCCAAAGTGCTGGGATTACAGGTGTGAGCCACCAAGCCCGGCCAACATTTTTCTTTTTAAAACACTAAATAATGAACTACATCTCATAAGGCACTACATACCAATTTTTTAAGAAACAATAACCGGGTGCAGTGGCTCACGCCTGTAATCCCAGCACTTTGGGAGGCCGAGGCAGGCGGATCACAAGGTCAAGAGATCCGAGACCATCCTGGCCAACATGGTGAAACCCCGTCTTTAAAAAAAAAAAAAAAGAAAGAAACAATATGCTTTTTTTCTCTAACCATTTGTAGTAAATAATCCTAAAGACTGACTGCATAATGGAATTTTAAAAGTCATTTACACTGAAATGTGATCAGTACCTGACTTTTAAAAACTGAGCAATATCTACTCTAACTACAAAGATTAAAGACCCTGACTTCTCATAAATACTTTTTTTCTCTAGAGAGTATGTGTCTCAGAGTTCTCACAAGTTACATTCCTAGAAAGCTTTTTGGGAGAAAATTCTTTTCTCCCCAAGTAGTTTTCACTTCTCACAATACTCTTTCAGATATTTATTTAATCTTGGTTATTTGCCTGGGCATATTAAATCAAAATAAAATAATTCTCCAATTTAAATCAATAAAGCTCAAGAAATCAGAGCAGATCAGTTCCACAGTAGTCAGTGTGGAATTATAGGTGTTTTCTGAGAGGCAGATTTTCTTCCTTGCTTAGCCATCCTATACGGAAAGTAGAAGTAAAAGGGAAAATTTGTCAGAATTGTCCAAAGATGGCCAGGACTTCCAGAGGAGGTGGAAAATTCTCTATATCCGTAAAGTATATTAGCAAGAACTGGAGATGAGATGACTCCAATAGTCCAATGAAATCCATAGAATTCTAACTGGGAAAGCTGCTGTTGTGCTTTTTTTTTTTTCATCTCTCCTGTATTTCTTTACAGCTAGGGGATGGAGTACCAAGTTCTTAGACTTCATGAGCTCTCTCTGCACATATTCCCAAAAGGTAGTTCATACCAGAAAATAGGACCACCCTTTATTACAATGACAAGCTAGGTATACAGGTAAACTTAGAGTTGTGGCCAGCTTTTTTCTAAGGCATTTTCCTGCAGAGAAGGTGGAACCCAGAAGCTAACTCTAGTTTTTCCCATACTTAAGGGATGTCAACATTTAAAATATAAGTTGCTACTTCCCCATAATAACACCAAGAATAAGGAATGGGATAACACTGGCTAAAATAAAACCAGGAAGTCCAAGTCAGGTAGATCAAATATGCCAACTCCATAGAAACCTAGCTTTTGTGTATATTTAAAGTGGTACTGGCCAGGCAGGATGGCTCATACCAACTTTGGGAGGCTGAGGAGGGCAGATTATTTGAGATAAGGAGTTCAAAACCAGCCTGGCCAACATGGTGAAACCTCATCTCTACTAAAAAAAATAAAAAATAAAAAATAAATTAGCCCAGCATGGAGGTGGGCACCTGTAATCCCAGTTACTTGGGAGGCTGAGGCAGGAGAACTGCTTGAACCCAGGAGAGGAGGCTACAGTGAGCAGAGATCATGCTGCTGCACTCCAGCCTGGGAGACAGAATGAGACTCTGTCTCGTAAATAAATAAATACAGTGGTACTTATTTGACAAATCCAAAAAAACTTCTCTGACTTTCAAGGAAATTACTATTTGGCTCATATGTGAAAATAAGATTTTCTCAATTCCTTCTCAAAGTTTCATTAGTACTTAACCCAAATGTCCAAACTTAATTTCTAAAATTAGAAATAAATGGTGACTACTAGATTTCTCAATCTGTGTGCCCATAAGAAAATAGCAAATGTGAGGAGTTATTACAGAGAAATAGCTTGTAAGAGCTGCCCTTCTATCAGCTGCCTTAGTTACAAATTATTTTAGGAATAATAACACTTCTCTAGAAAACTTATAAGGCTAAAAAGATTCTATAAATTACTAAAACCAAAGGTTACTAAAATTTTTGTTTATAAAGAAAACCCTGGATTAACAAGAAACTTTAGGAGGAAACAAACAAAAAAGGAAAGCAATGACATAATCTCACTACATGTTCCTGAGCTCATGGCAAATACTGCTCATCAATCAGGCATTCTTTTCTTAATGAGCTTGGATCTGCTTTGACAATTCTCAAAACAGGACTCTGAACAACCATTTCAACTGGGTAGGGCTGGCTCTTGAGATGAAACCTATTCCCCCTCCCCAGTCTAACCACAAGACCTAGAGGAACTATGTACACAACTGAATTGTAATACTAGCCCTGCCAGGAATGCTTGTATGACTTGGGGCAAGTTGCACCTCAAAGCCTTAGCTTCTATCTGTAAAATAGGGCTAATAATACTAAAGTAGCTTAAAAGATTATTATAAAATTCAAATGGAATACTGTAGAGGAAGAGCTCTTTTTATCTATTATAATATTAGTTATATTAACTAACATTTACCATGTGTTACCTATGAGTATTTACCATGTACTATGTTCTAAACATAAATTATCTCCTTTAACTATACAGATATCGTAAGGGATATAGTTATCACCTCCATTTAACAGACAGGGAAATAAAAGCATAAAAACAGAAGTATCTTCCCCAGGGTCACAAAGATAGTAGCAGGTTGGGGCTTTGAACCTAAACAATTTATCTCAAAAAGCCCAAACTCTTAGCTAATATGCTGGCTTTCATTCTTTGTAGGCAATAGAGCACTATAAATTTAATCTTTACTTGCCTGACTTATGCATACTGAGCCCTCAATGAACATGCAGGAGGAAAAGAATGATTTAAAGTTGCTTTAGAGAACTAGAAGACTACAAATATAAAAATGCAAGTAGGTGTGAGGCAGAAGGAAGTGCTGATAGAGAAATCACACAAAGTCTGGTGTCTGGTGGAGACAAGAATATCAACTTGGGGCCTAGAAATTTCTACAGTAAGTCATCAAACAGATAGCAATCTTCAGGCATCTGGAGCCAGGATATCCTGACTATTTTTTTTTTTTTTTGAGATGGAGTTTCACTCTTGTTGCCCAGGCTGGAGTGCAATGGCGCCATCTCAGCTCATCACAACCTCTGCCTCCTGGGTTCAAGCAATTCTCCTGCCTCAGCCTCCGAGTAGATGGGATTACAGGCATGTGCCACCATGCCCAGCTAATTTTGTACTTTTAGTAGAGATGGGATTTCTCCATGCTGGTCAGGCTGGTCTTGAGCTCTTGACCTCAGGTGAGCCGCCTGCCTCAGCCTCCAAAGGTACTGGGATTACAGGTGTGAGCCACCACTCCCAGTCTTCCTGACTGTTCTTAACACATGAGCCTAACTGTTGCTGCATAATTATACTCTTGGAAAGTTTAGCCAATAAGAAAATAAGGTTTCCTTTAATCTTATTTGTTCCCTTGTATTTCCCTTTTAATCTTTAACTGAAAAAACTTCTCCCCCACCAGTCCCTAACAGAATATAAATGATACAGATCTGTATAATATAGTTGTCTCTCACTATCTGTGGGGGATTGGCTCCAGAATCTCCCATGGAAATCAAATTCTGAGGATGTTCAGGTCCTTGATATAAATGGCATAGTATCTGCATATAAATTATGGACATCCTCTTGTATACTTTAAATTATCTCTACATTATTTATAACATCTAATACAATGTGTTATGTAAACCATTGTTATACTGTATTTTTAAGGGGAAAATGACAAGAAAAAAAGTCCATAAGTGTTCAAAGTGGATATAATTTTTTCTTTCCCTTAATATGTTAATTTTTTTTTTTTTGAGACAGAGTCTCACTCTGTCACCCAGGCTGGAGTGCAGTGGCTCAGTCTCAGCTCACTGCAACCTCCGCCTCCTGGGTTCAAGCGATTCTCCTGCCTCAGCCTCAAGAGTAGCTGGGATTTCAGGCAGCTGCCATGATGCCTGGCTAATTTTTGTATTTTTAGTAGAGACAGGGTTTCACCATGTTGGTCAGGCTAGTCTTGAACTCCCGACTTCAGGTGATCTGCCCGC